TTCTGTACCCAGAGAATCATTCTGTTTGTCACTTTCAGTCCAGTATTCAATAAATTACATGAGATACGCAACAGTGTATTATAAAATAGGCTTTGTGTAGGTGATTTTGCCCAACTCTAGGCTAATGTAAGTGCTCTGAGCACATTTAAGGTAGGCTGGGCTAAGCTACAATGTTCAGTAGGTTAGGTGTATTAAATGCATTTTTGATTTATGATATTTTCAACTTATGATGGGTTTATCAGGACATAACCCCATCGTAAGTCAAGGAACATCTGAAGACAAAATCACTGTAAGTCTCAACATTGTAGAATGTCACAAAGAGGAATTAACTAATGCAATGTTTATAGTTAGGTTTGCTTACGCTCAAAATTAGAGAAAAAAGTTCACTCTGACTTCTTAAATGTAAGGAACAATTCTGCTGGAAAAAAACGTTTAAGAAAAACATCCTTAAAAGCATTGGAGAGCTGACAGGCAAAAATCTAAGAAAACACAAGATCTTGGAGAAGTAGACCATTTAGTTTGATGCTAAATGGAATGGAAACTGAGCTGTGGTTCATGTGACTGATGTAAAGGAGAGAGAAGTCAAAGCCCAGAGCCCCCAAGATAGGAGCCCTAACAGCTGCGAGCCCAAAGAGAGGCCCACAGGGTAAAGGTGAGTTAGAAGTAAACCTGCCCTGCTGAGGGAAGGAGGGAAGAGAAGAAAGAAAAGGAAGATAGGAAGGAAGAACAGGAAAGGGAAAGGAAGAAGAGACAAGGGCGGTGGAGGCAGGAAGCAAGCAAGCAGGCCCTCGTGCAGATTTGTGGTCAAAATTTACTTCGCCGGGATGGTGAGAGAAACGCAGGCAGTGACTGGGAGGTAGTTCCAGTCTGGTGGTACTCCCAGCGCGCCACAGACAACGGGACTCACCTTGCAGGAAGATGCGCTCATTCTAAGCCTCAGGAAACACCCACTGATCATGTTTTAAAGGCAGCGACTAGCACAAGTCAAAATTACCCAAGCCTGCAAGGAAGCATGCGAAGCATGAGTACCAAGCATGAGATGCAGCAGGAAAGCAGGCGGTGGAGACTGATGCCCAAAGTGTTCGCGTGTTAGAAAAATCAGGTAAAGATCAAGCAAGTTTGCTTGCTGTGTTTAAAGAAAAAGACAAGCTTTAAAATAACTGTCCAGTACAGGAAACTGTAAAAAGTATAACATGTATTTTTAATTTATTTTTATTGAGGTATCATAAAATACTGTGAAGTTTAAAAAATCTTATACAGCTCAGTGAATTTATATATATTTAAATATGTAACCCCTACCCAGATCAAAATATAGATCACGAGTTGGCAAACTGTCTATAAAGAGCCAGATAGTAAGAATCTTAGGCCTGTGTGCCATACAGTGTGTAAATGAAAGGGTGTGGCTGTGTTCCAATAAAACTTTTTAAAGAAAACAGGCAGTGGGCAGGATTTAGCCCATGGGCCATAGTTTGCCGACCATAATATACAACATTTCCAGCATCCCAGGAGGTTTCCTCATGTCCCTTCCCAGGCAGAGAGGTATTCACTATCCCGACTTCCACCTCCACAGTTTAGTTTTACATGCTAACATTCATTTTATACACTTTTATTTGTTTTTTTCACAATTTAATAACAAGACTTGCTTAATAAAAAGGATTATCATAGAACTGTATTATTTTGAAGCCACTCAGAAATATCGTTCAATAGAGTGATTCCCAGCTGACCGAGCAGATGGGTAGAGCCGGGGTAGAGTTTTGTGTGTGGTTGGCCTCAAACGACAGACTCTCCTGAGGCGAGTGCGCCCCTCACATCGCAGTGCACTGCTTTCAAGACTCCTCCCTTTCCTTGGCTTTCAGCACTTGACTGTGATGTGTTTGGGTATGGATCTCTTTGCATTTTTCCTACTTTGAGTTTGTTGACTTTATTGGATGTGTGTTTTTAGATTAATGTCTTTCATCAAATTTGGGGAAGTTTTCAGCCCATTAATTCTTCAAATACTTCTTCTGTTCCTTTTCTCTCTCCTCTCCTGGCACTCCCATCACGCATACGTTTGTGCACTTAACGGTGTCTTACATTTCTCTGAGGCTCTGTTCATTTTTCCTCATTCTTTTTTTCTCTGTTTTTCAAATTTCATAATCTCCATTGATCTATCTTCAAGTTCACTTATTTTTTTTCCTCCCAACTCAGCTCTACTGTTGAGCCCCTCGAGTGAATTGTTCATTTTGGTTATTAATACTTTTTGACTCCAGAATTTCCATTTGATTCTTCCTTTTTTTTTTTTTGAGGAAGATTAGCCCTGAGCTAACATCTGCTGCCAATCCATTTTGCTGAGGAAGACTGGCCCTGAGCTAACATCCGTGCCCATCTTCCTCTTGATTCTTTTTTATAATGTTCATGTCTTTAGCGGTATTCTCTACGTGATGAGTAATTTTTATCACACATGTTCCTTTAATTCTTTAAACATGGTTTTCTTTAGTTCTTTGAACGTGGTTATACTGTATGTTCAGCCAGTGTTTGGTCAGAGGTTCTGCTTGAGCCCTTTCAGCTAATAAGACTTCTGCTCTTTGCTGATGATCTGTGTATGGCTTGAAGAATGATTTCAAGTCTTCCCCACATCCCACTCTGATTGCTCCTGAGTCGGTGCAACCCATTCCATGCCCAGTCTTATGGACCCCCAGGGGTAAGTGGGACCCCAGGAGTGCTCCTCTTAGCTGTCTCTTTCCCTGGGTCTCTCTATTAAACTTCTGGCTGATGTGCCATTTTGCTTTTTGTTGCTAGTATCATGGAGCTACCAGTCCCCTCTTACTTGCTTGCCACCAAGATCTCTATTGTTTTTGACAATCCCTTTAGACACAGATTTCTCCATTCTTGGTACCAAAGTCAGTCCCCTCAGGCAGAGCTGCTGAGCTACCAGTGCACAGAGCGTGCCTCTCCCCTGGGAGCTGGAAGTGTCCTGCTTCCCCTAGAGTAGCACGCCTTCTTAAGAGTAGGTGCTGGGAGGGGAGGATGGTAGCCCCTGATCTTCTCAGGTTGCCCCTCCCATTGGAACCTCTACCCTTATGAGCAGGCCGGAACAGGGGCCATTGGAACCCCGGGATGCTCAGCCTGTCCTATCTGGGGCAGGGCCCTACATACAGTAGGAGCCCGTCCCTTCCTGACTGCACTCACCCAGAGCAGATAGCCTGGAGCAGAGCTGCTGTCACGTGAAGCTGAGGTGTGGGAGTGGGCTGGGATAGGGCTGTGGCTCAAATGCCGCAGGCTCTCAGTTTGCTTATTAATATGTAGATTTTCCTGAACAAATGGTTCTCTATTTGCTGTATGCTTTTAGGGAAATTTTCAGAGACTTTGTTATTCGGTTTATATATATAGTTTTCCCATTTAAATGGTTGTTTCACTGGGAAGAGGGTCAGCTGAGCTCTGTACACCACCATTCCAAAGTCCCACCTAGTCAGTTCTTGGAGCCTTGGCTGGCCTGCTTGGAGTCTGGTCTACACATGCGTGGTTCAGTTGTCAGCCAGGGATTTGCAGAGCTTTCATACCAAGAACTTGGGGCCCTCTTTTCTAGAGTTTTCCCTCTTACTTTCCAGAGGCTGTTTATCCCAAACTCTGGCCTCTGGTTCTTCAAGCCAGTAAGACTGCAGGTTTTCTAATAGGGTTTTAGCTACCCTGTTGGGGCTGCCCTGGGACAAAAGCCATAAAAAATGAGAAACCTACTCATTGCTGTTCTCTTCAAGCATCCACTCCCCTCCAAAGTCTTCCAGCTTTGGGTCATGCTCCAGTGTTTCGAAAACTTTTAAAAAATATTTTGTGCAGAATGGTTGTTATTTGAGGGAAGATTAGTCCAATAGGAGCTACGTACTGGAAGTGGCACTCCCCCTTACCATTAGTTGAAGGTTGGATATGACTCGTGTGTCTGTGATTTTAGCGAGGAACAGGCAGGATGTTCCATAATGAAATTTAGAAAGCTTTTACTTTTTTGGGGGGGAGGAGGAATTTTGCCATTTTAAAAAAAAGCATATTTGCAAGAATGCTTTTACTTTTATGTTACATATGAAGTGGAAGATGGCAGAACAACTAACAAGGTGGAGTTAGTTACTCTTTTAAGCAAAGCCTCAAGCTAACGACAAACCCAGAAGGCCTGTCTCAGACATTATCAAACACTTCTCACAGTGACCAGCACTCAGATTAAGAAACTGACTTCACTCTGCTCAGCATAGATGGGACTTGATTTCCACCAGATTTTTCTGTTGCACGGCATATCATTTTATCACATTGCATTGTCTTAGAAAACTAAGGACAAAAAGTCACTTGTTACCATTCTAAAAAGAGAAATACGCAATGCCCTGTCTCATAAATTGGCTCAGTGCTTTCCGACTATATACTGTGCTTTCAAAGATGATTTTACAGGCTACTGCTACACGAGGGGCTCAGGGTGCTATCTGTATAGCAGTGATTCCATCTGTCTGTCTGTCTTTTACTGTCTTTCTTATCTTTTCAGAAACACTTACTGAAGGCTTCCAGTATGCCCTAAATTGCTCGGTGTTAAGAATATACAGATGAACAAGATGTCATCTCTGGCCTCGAGGTGCTAGTGTCCTTTTGTAATCCTTCACTTTATGGAAGAGAAGGCAGGTCAGTGGAAGATATGGATCCATGACAATGGGAAAACAGCTCTGTCAAGAAAAGTGACCCCAACACTGCCTTCACTGTCATTAGCTCCTATTCTGGAGCTTATGTTACTGCATCAAAGGCAGAGCATTAAATTCCAAGAGAAACAGAGTTTGGGAGAGGGGAACAAAGAGAATGTAGCAAGGAAGAGGTTGGGGTGCTGAATGAAGGCTTTCTTTTAAATAAAAGGTGCGATGCAATTTCAGTGACACTGACGCAGCCCATCAGAACTTGCACTTCACCCAGTGATCAGCAAACACGCAGTAAAGTGTTGTTTATACTTAGAACCTTAATGTGTAATCATTATTTCACACACTGTGCCTGGCAAAAGATTTTGTTCTGGGTAACTTTATTGTTATAAACTTTATTGTTATAAAGCCATATAATTTTGCTTGAGGCCTTACGTGACAGGAAGTTACACAGTTGTAAATATCAACTCTTCACTATCTTATGTAGTTTGGAAAACTTTCAAGTTCGTGACATGTTAATTGCACTTAAAAATTAAATACATGGTGAAAGAAAGATACGTTTATAAAGATATTCAAAAGGATTTTTACACTTGGATTTGCCTTGCTTGATTACGAAAATTCAAAACCATCTTCCCACCTAAGGTTTACGCAGGGCTTTCTCCCTCCCTGGGAATGAACTAACACAGAGGATTAAAGGGCCTCGACAAACGTGAGGAGCACTGAGGAGCGCAAGAGCAAAGTCTCGCCACGGCTGCTGGAAACCAGAGCACACTACTGCCGGGTCGAGAAAGAAAATCTCTAAACCTGTGTGTGTGGCAAGCGCGTGTGTGCTGACTCAGATGTCTTTCCCGCAGTCGGGGCACAGGATGTCGTCCCTCTCTGTGAGGAAGCCTCGGCCCACCAGGGACAGGGAGCACTTCTTGCAGTTGAAGCAGTCATTGTGCCACTGCCGCTCCTCAAAGGAGATGTACTTGGTGCCGCCGAGTCCTGTTAACAGAGGAAAACACCACCGGATGAGGAGAGACAGGGAATACTGCTAGTTAGCACCAGGCGACCGGGACTGGAAGAGGAATGCTGGTTTGCTCCATCTTCCCTTTGATTCTGTGATATGGGGAGTATGCGTTTCTAGTGGGGCATCCAGGTATAAATCAGGTGTCATGCACAGCCTTGAGGAAGTCATAATCATCAGAAGAACAGATACATAAATTGGCTTCAGAACGGTATGGAAATGCTACAATTTTAAAGAGACTGTTGTGGGTATTTGTTTTCCCACCAGAATGAAACTCCTTGAGTCAGGGAGCTGATTTCCCTTATTCCTTCACTAGGTGCCTCATGTCTGGTCCTCAGTAATTTCATGATTTAATGAATGAAGTGCTAAAGGGAAGGTAGAAGAGGAAAATGTTAATTTTCTCTGGAATGGCCAGGAAAGGCCCCACAAAGAAATGATACCTGGGTGGGGGAGGAGGCGATGGACCTTCTTACAGAGGGACTATCATGAGACACGCTACAGAAGCAGGAACTGCCGCGGTAAGAGTGGGCGGTATAATGAGACTGCTGGAGGAGGGGGCTGCTGAGACAGGAGGGGGCAGGTGGTGAAGACAGGAGGGCACTAGAGAAAGCCATCTTATATTTTAAGCAAGAAAAGTAGGAACTCATTTCAATTCGGGTCTTGACTCTTGTTTGATGACTAAGTCTAATCAAATCTTTAAGGTACACTGGCCGCCTAGCACAGTATAATTGGTTGGTACTGCCACTGAGCCCCCTGAAATAAAATGGAATCAAATAAATGGGGTCATCTTAGAGTTGTAATCGATTTTGGTCAAGTTAGGATCATGAATTCCAATTACAAAGAGTTCTTTCCAAAACAATGGTTCAGTCTACCATGTTAAAAACAAAGCAGCCACACTGACTGCTCCATTTATAATAGTTTGAGGTCGCAGCCAGCGTGAGAAGTCTGTAATGCACCAACAGCTAGGTCTTTAACTTAATTGGCTAGGCTGACATTGGTGTTAAATCCCTTCACGTAGGGGAGACCGTAGAGCTAGACCCCGTCGGCTAGTTAGTGACCAGCCTGGGACTTGAACCAGGTCTTGCAAACATAAGTTCCAGCTCTTTCTAATGCCACACTACCTCTGCTACTGATGGAGTATGCGCTAGCAAAGCTTTTCAACTCTCTTTTCCTAAACAGCTTAGAGCTTTAAAAGAGTCACAGTGCAGAACCAGCGTTACCAGAATATCGATTGCCTTTCCTAATCCTAGACTTAGAGGGCAGTGAGAGACCTGCGGATCTGGGAGCCCAGGGCCTGGCCCTGAGGCAGAACCAAACCGATGGTTTAGGTCAGTGGGTCTCAAGACTGTCTGCATATTTGAATCACGTGGGAAGCTTTTAAAAATTCTAACACCCAGGTCATAGCTCACACCAGTTAAACCGTGACCCAGGCAGTAGTAATTTTTAAGGTTCCCCAGGTGTTTCGAATGTGCAGCCAAGTTTGAAAGCCAGTAGTTTGGGCAACACTTTAACTTGATTTCAGGGCAGGGGCTGCAGAGCGGTTGGAAGATAGTTGCTTTTCTTCTTAGCACTCTGAGTTAAATGAAAAGCCAAGAAGCTGCTAGGATGCCCCAGCGTTTCCAGCATTCCGTGGTTCTCCTTATTCTCTCCTCTGCTGAGTCCTGCGCCACCGCAGATCTGGGGCAAGGAGGAGCATGGCAGCGAGAGGATGAGGGAGGGTGTCAGTGACAGGAGCTACGCTGGGCAGCTGTCCCAGGGGGAGGCCTCCTTTCAGAAGCTCCACTGTTTCCTAGAAATGCCAGCAATGGGGCAAGTGGTAGAAATGGGAGCCAAAGACAGCCCCAGGGGGACAAATCCTCCTAAAGGCAGGATGTGCATGCAGTCACTTCTCATTATTTGAGGTAGTTATTTTCTGTAAAGTCACTGAATTGAATTACCAAATCCTGAGCCACTGTTCCTAAGAGAAAGACAGCATCAGGTTCCTGTGAGCCTCTGGGCACAACATGTTCATCACCCAATCAACACATAACCTTGCTTTACCTCTCTTTCTGTTTAAACACACCTTATTTCATATGTATGCTGACTCATTAATATTCAACCTGATGACCAACAGCACCATAACTGAAGCCTGAATGAAGCTCATCTAACAAGTATTTTCTCCATGAGGCACATCACAGCCCTCCTGTGCTTAGGAGCATAGCTCTTTAGCACTGTGCTTGGGGGCCTTTTTTAATTTTTTTTTTGGTGAGGAAGATTGTCCCTGAGCTAATATCTGTGCCAATCTTCCTCTATTGTGTATGTGGGGTGCCACCACAGTGTGGATTGACAAGTGATGTGTAGGTCCACACCTGGGATCCAAACCCGTGAACCCTGGGCCAGCGAAGTGGAGTGCAAACTTAACCGCTCCACCGTCGAGCTGGTCCCCGTGGGGGCCATTTTAAACACTGAAATTGCCAACAAAAAGCAAAAAAATGCAAAAAGCATGGCACTAAACAGACTGTGAAAAGGACCTTTGTTTATAATACAAGAGTTGAACGGGAAGGCGGAGTGTCACCTGGTTCCACCTCAACTGGGCATGCACGCATTCGCCACTCTGTGCATGTCTGTGAGTGACCGTGAACACCCCACGAGTGCTGACTTTGGAGTTACAAATGTGAGTGAGCAGGCACATTTGCAAATATGGACTCTGAATGATGAGGATCAACTGTATTTATGTGTGAATTAAGCATCTCTGCACATAAAAAGTTGGAAAATACCAACTTCAGATTTATTAATAAAATCATTTAAATTTTGTCAAAGAGAAAAAGAACTAAGTAAGGAACTATTAGAAATTTAATCTAAACTCACACTCTGGCATAATTGATTAGGAATCTGGCAAAAAGCACATTTTAGCTGCAATTTCAAAATTCCCAAGCATAGTCTCTGCATTTCAGAGAATTGACTCTCCTTTTTTGGAGGAAAGTATCATTCTGTTTTTCTAGTGTTGTTTTGTTTTTTTTCAGTGCTACAATGATAATAACTACTATCAACACACATATCTAATACTTTATATTTAAAAGTGCTTTATGTAGGTTATATTGCTATATAAAGCTTAATTTTATAGACATTTACTTCCACAAAAGTTAACTTTGAAAATAGCATTAAAGATTAATATGTTAGGGCGAAAGACTGCATTTTTCCCTCTAAATGATTCTAAGAGAAATCTGGTGTACAAACAGCTAGGATTGGATGTGTTAACACAGAAAAACTTACACGCTATACTTCTTTTCTTTGTGTTTTAATTTCATTTGGAAACATGATTTCTGGCTTCCACACGAGAGGCTGGGCCTTTCTACATCAGGTGAGTTGGCTGAGTTAGGTGAGCTGGGTTCTAGACCCGAGGGAAACAGTCAGGGACGAGCGCAGAGGGTGTATAAATGTGTCTGTATGGTTACAGTTACGTGTGAAGCTGCACAGGAGCACCGTCTGGCCTGGCCGCTGTGTTTACACCATGTGTCTGCTGTCTGCCGTTGACAGGGGTCAGCCGATCAATGAATGCACAGAGCCGGAATCCACATTATGGAATTGCTCCTGTGTCGTTACAGAACCCTCACACTCTCCCTCCCAGCCCAGCCACTGATTTCTGTGCAACACGTGGGGAACATTTACAGGACTTCAGTCTGACCAGCCAGCTGCTCTCCACACTGAACTTCTGGCATGTTTACTAGTTCAGTCCAATGCCTGGTCTGCCAGCCAGCCAGATTTGGGGCTCTCACTTTGCCCAACCCTGTGGGGGATATGAAAGAACCAAGTAGAACGTTGCCCTCCGCCCTCATAGAGATATGGCTTTGTGGTCGAAAGAACTTTCTAAGATGCTATGGAGCACCTTTAAGAACACGGTACAGCTGCTAAGCTTGGACACGCCAGCTTCATCGTGCTGATGTGGTTGCCATATACTCACAGGCTGCAGTTTTAGAGATAATCCTACCAAAAGCAGAAGCGATAAACTTCCTGAGAACAGGGCCTAGGGTTCTCAGTGATCAGGGGAGCTCGAGGGGAAGTCCTTACCTGCCGAGTGTGCCCACTGTCCCAAGGAGAGGAATGCAGGTAAGCAGGAGTCGGCTCTGCTCGGGACCTTACGAGGCCTAGAGGGTCTAGGTGTGTAATCAAATTCACATGCTGAAATCTTACACCTGTTCAACCTTCAAACGGCTACACCAAGAAGAGCAGGTGGCCGTGCAGGCTGAGTGGGAATCCCACGGGACACTCACCGCTGATGGGGTTGGTGCACCCAGCGCACTTCTTGGCATACAAGTCACAGAAGCAGTTCAGGCAGTAGGCAAACTCGTCTCGGGACGTGAAGCGCTGCCCGGACAGCGGCTTCTTGCAGGCGGTGCACACGAAGCACTCCCTGTGCCACGGCTGCTCCCGGTACGTGACGCCCCCGGTGGTGATGGGCTGCAGGAGGCGAGAGCGAGAGGGTCAGTTTCCCCAGGCGGGGTGGTCTCTGTTCTCAGCACACTTCCTCAGCCCCAGCCATCACCACTGCATGACGCCAGATCCTCATCCAGAAAACGTCCGGTTTTAAAAGTCACGGAGGAACTGCCTTACAGACCGCAGGCACCCCTTCATCACCGCTTCCACATGCTTTCTATCCCTGGCCCTCCCGTTGTCACCCGGCTACTAGGAAGTCTGCTCCCAGCCCCTCGGAGGGATGCTGGGGAAGCTGAGGCGTGGGTGTTGTGGGGCAGCGCTGCTTCCTCACCGCGCACGGAGGGTAAGGATCGGACACGGCATCAAGGAGACTCGGGTTGAATCCTAACCTATCCTGACCAGCCCTGTGCCCGAGTCACCTGTTAAGATCTCTGTGTCCTGGGGGGATCCTCTCAAACACCATTTGCAACTCTGTCTCTCCAGCACTTGTGGTGGAAGAAGGAACAGGCTTAAAAGACAGCGTGGGGTTGGTGCCTGCTGACACTGTCGTGAGGGAACGGGCGTCCTGGAAGGCCCGGAGAAACAGGCCCAAAGCCTCCCTCTCCCCGTCTGAGGTGGAGCGCTCGGGAGCAGAGATGCAACAGATTGTCAGCACACTCGCTTTATCTAGTAGTTGTCCTCTTTTCCCTTTGTCGCTTTCATATTCATTGAAAAAACGGATGAAGGACAGAACTGAGTAGGATATCAGAGGAGTTCAGGTGGGTCTCAGCTTGACCGAAAGATGGCAATGCAAGATGGAGCAGAAACACCTCACGTTAGCACTTTGACGCATTTTATTTTTTTAACACTGCTATTCATCCTTTAGTCTTTACATAAAGTATAAAAGTCCTCACATAAAGACAGATGTTATTTCCATTTTACAGATGAGTAAACTGAGACCCAGAGAAATCAAGTGACTTGTCTGAGAATTAGCTGGAATCATAGCTAGTTAATGACAAAGCAGGCACTAGAGTTCAGAACTTCCTTCGATCCTGTATTCTTTTCATTAAACTCTAAACCATTAATAATCTTCCTATAAATTTTCCCCCTAGGAACAGAATTTATGCAAAATATCTTGGGTTAAGTTATCTCTGTGGCTATAGAAGGCGCGTATGTGTGAGACGTTTCCTCTGCCTGGAATACACCCCCGCGTCTCCTCCCTCTGGATTCCGTGTCCCCCAGCCCCACCCCACATCACCCAGCTAACTCAGACGTGCCTCGGCACGGCTGTCCCTTTCTCAGAGAACCCTTCCCTAACATCAGCCTGGCCCCGGCTCCTCAGACGAGTGCAGGGCCTTCCTCCAGTATACACTCTGTTAAGACTCTGTTCTCCAAGGCACGCCTTTCGATGAGGACTTGTGTGTCTGACATGGGAGTGCATTTCCACCCAGCACCCAGGAGTGCCCACTCCCCGCTGGGAGGAATGGAAATTTCTGGCATGAGTGCTTTCTTGTGCACTAATGAACACACACAAAGGTATGTGTCCCAGGAGGATGTGTCACCTTTATTTCTGCAACTGAAAAGGACAATGAGGTGGGGCAGAAAACAGAGGAAGAAAGAGTAACTAAAATGAACTTCCTTTCGATCTTGATGAGAAAAGCAAAACAAAACAAAGGGAAGTGAGCAGAGAAGAGGGTTCCTGAGGTAAACACAGGAATGAGAGTGCCATCCAAGGAAGAAGGGATCCACAGTAGATAAATAGGGGAAATATGGAGAAATGGAATTTAAGAGTGAATGTAAAGAAAAACGGAAACGAGACGGAAGGAAACAAGGGAAAGGCTGAAGGAAAGTCAGCAACACGCTGCCCTTTGAAAAGGTGCCGGCGAGGTGGGCCTTCCAGCCGAGGCTGGGCAGCTGCAGGGAGCAGCTCGGCAGGGCCCCCCAGCGACAGAGTGGGGTCAGCAATGGGCAGGAGCCAGGCAATCTCACCAAGTTCTCACCAGGCCTGCCCAGGGCAAAGTCCCCGGTGGAAGGGAGCACCTCAGGAGGCTGGCTCAGGTCCCAACATTGCCGAGACCGTGCGAGAGAGGTCACACTGCAGCAGACGAAGCTGCACTCTCAAGGGCACGGACGGGGGTGGACAGGGTCGGCGGGAGACAGGGCTTCCTGCAGATGCGGCTTCCCTTTGTCCGCTAACCCAACAGAGCCACGACAGGACAGCACATTGGCGATTGGGGCAGTGTGGTTCCTGGGCTGTCCCCTATCCCTGGCTGACGGCTGACCTTTTTTCCTTTCCTTTTCTTCTCACATCCTCCCTCCCTCTTACTAAGTTGAGCAGTTGGTTTCTTGTTTATTCAAGGAGAACAGTGTAACAAAGACAGCTTGGGGACAGTTCTCCTTCCCTTTAGCATCAAGTCATAAACAGGAGCAAAGATTTGGAAATGTTCTAGAAGACGGAAGAGAGAAAGGATTTTTATCTCAGGTCACAACAAGCTCTCATCTTTGAAAGAAGGACTGGAACACAGGTCCAATGGATAAAATGTACAGAAGAACATCAGAATCACGGCACGTGAGGCAAGACAGCCCTAAGGCTCCTGCCATGCAAGCATGAAGGCGCCCTCGCTTTCGGAAAGGGGGAGCTGACCGACAGCGGCGTGGAAGCAAACTGACTGGAATGCGCAAGGTCCAGGGAGAGGGAGAGGTACCTTTTTGCACTGAACACACTGCAAGGCATACTGTTTCTCGTAGCAGGGCACACAGAAATTCTGGCCGTCCTTCGGGATGAAGCTCTTGGTTCCGATGGGCTGTTGGCAGCGATGGCAGATGAAGCAGGTCTCATGCCAGCTGCTGCCCTTGTACTCCATCTTGCGGGTGCCTGCCACGGGAGTCAAGAAGGAAAGCAGAGTCATCAAAAGGACTGGCTTGGAGGCTGAGCAGTCTGCGCTGAGAACCTGCCACCGTCTGGTTTTATGACGGTGGCAAGTCCTTTAGCTCTGGAAGGCTCACCTCTAAATGGGAATCACTTCTGTTGGACGGCCGGGACTTTGTCTTTTGGTTCGCTGCTAGACACCCAACTCTTGGAACAATATCTGTACATACTCAGGATTTATTTGTTGAACAGAGTGGTTATGAACATTAAATGAAAACAAGTATTTGTCTCTCTCAGCACTGCAAAATATAAAGAGAAGTGTGGCGGAGCTCAGACTAGTCCTTAGCAAGTGTGGACTCTGGAGCAGAGGGGCCTGTTAACAAACAGCCCTCTGCTTCTCAAGAGGAGGGGATGGTTGGGTGTAGACGAACCTAGAGTCTCGAGCCTGATTCTGGGAGGAGCCTCCACATCACTCACTTCATTCAAGTGCTGTGTCATCAAGCCGTGGCATACGCTATCATTAAATCCACGCGTATTACCTGTACAACCCACTTAGTAACTTTCGGTCCTGTAACAGCCCATTTTCTTCTGAACAACTATTATCATTGGATATGGCTACATTATTTCCTCCAGTAGGTGAAGTCCCGGAGGAGTGAACGCTTTCTGGTTCACGCCCACCCCAACCCCGCCCAGCCTGACTCACAGGGAACGCTCGGGGTTTGTTGATTAATGTCTTTCTCATACTTTATACGCACAAAAAAGGTGTGTGTGTTTATAGAAATAGATGCTTCCAGACAGATATGTATGCGAGCACCCTTTGTATGAAGCAGAAGCGAAGGATTTGGGGGAAAGGAGCATAATGGATGAAGAAATTGCAAAGTGTTCCAAATACGCGGGCTAGCTCAGGCGCCAGCACACTAGACACGGCCCACGGGCACATCGGGACTGCAGCCTGTTTACAACAGCAGTGTCATTGAAACCCTGCCAGCCCATTCACTCCCTTCTGTTGTCCACACTGCTTTCATGCTACAAGGGCAGAGTTGAGCAGTTGCGACAGAGACTGGATGGCCTGCGTGGCCCAAAGCATTGATTTGGTTCTATATGGAAAAATTTTGCGAGCCCCTGGTCTCACTGAAAGGATGCGGACTGTAGAATGATGGGCACGTAAGTGAGATTTCAACCCGGGGTCAGGAAACGAGGGGGCACTCGGCCGAAAGCAGGCCGGCCGGCTTTGGAACCAGGGGGCAGCACAATGCAGGTGTCTGTAAACTAGTCTTTAGCTCTAAGTCCAAAAATAATAGGGTTGAAACAACAAGGCTAATGGTTGTATTTTAGCTGGTTATGAGGTTGGTGAGATGGCCTTGTCTCAAGTAGTTAGGATATTCGCTGAAAATCATTATGTGGTTATTTTATTACATGTCATTTGGGGTCACTTTCTCAGCTTCCTGTACTTGCAAGACCAGACATTTGAGTACTCCCTCCCATAAAGCATATAAAATACTCAAGGAATTCATGGGGTAAAGGTGTGCGGCACACAGTGATCTTAAAAGCTGTGGAATTCAATCATGGGTTGATGAACCCTGAAATAAGGAAAATTATATTCAGCAGTTGAATTTCAGGTCAAAATGATGGAAGGATTTTGATGTCAATCCTAGAATGAGTTTCTTTGGTCTGCAGAGTTTTTCCCCCATGAATACCTTCGTCACTTGCTTCTTTAATCTCTGCCCTTTCCTCTGATCAAGTAGCCCCCTAAACCCAAGGATTTTGTCAATGAAAATAGGGCAATTAAGATTCTCGCTAAGGACCGCAAGCAAGACCATGAGTGCATTCTTGGCATGCTCTGGAACAGTCTTACACCAACACCAGGGCTCAGGCAACGCCTGCCCCTAGGAGGGAATCCACTGGACACTTCCAGCCCAAGGCAGGTGGAGGCACACATCCGGGAGGCCACAGACACAGACCTGTGCAAAATGTGGCCAGCAGGTGGCAGCAGCATTCCTTCTTCTAACAATCTGCAGATGAGAGCAATTCTCCAGCAGATAAGTCCAGCGGAGGAAGGTGTCTTTTTCTGATTCAAATAAGCAAGCGAGGAACCAGAAACTTGGTGACTGGTTAGCGATGACGTGAGCCTGCTCAGAGGCTGTAGTGCAGCTGCAGAAACCTCTGCAAACAGGGGCTCAGCACTGGGTGGATGCGAACCGGTGGACCCTAGCACTGTGGTTTGTGCCGACGGAAGCCTAGTTTCCCGACCACGTCAAGAAATGGACTTTTGTGGGGTGTGGGCCCAGTGGGTGAGCTTTTCTTGAGCACATGCCTCTTGTCCTATGTATCTAAGTTCACAGCCAAAGCTACGCTGATGCTCTGTACTGCTGGTCATCTTGATTTGGGTCTAGCACTTTTAAAAATCAAACCAAAGCAGAGAAGCAAGTGCGACCATCTAGTGCTTCTTTTTTGCTTCTGGTTTTTGCACACAGCAGCCTTTTTCCAGACACCTTGCCTCTGGTGCCCAGTCCATTTCCTCAACCGGAAGTGACCTTTTCGACATCTCCATCCATTGAACTCCAGCTCCTCATCCTTCAAGACTGTTCAAACATGACATCCCTGAGGCTCGCTTTCCTGGCACGTGCCTCCACCCTGGCAGGCACCAGCCAGTCTTCTCCGGCGTCTCTATCTAAAGATCCCTGACGTCAGTGAGAAGCACAGCCCTGCGATGTGGAGGCGGGAGTGCTGACGCTCTTACACTTTCCTGCCGTGGGGCTGAGCTGCGTTCTCGTTACCAGTGCCTGAGCTGGGCATTCTCCTCTCACACCTGCACGCTGCACCAGCACAAAATGAACAATAAGCTCCCTTCTTAAAGACCTCAGCGGATCCCACGGGTTCCACAGCCACCCAGCAGATGCGAAGCCCACGTGTGCACCTTCCACCACTTCCCAGAGCTCCAGTCATGACCCGCCTCGCCCGGGGCCTCCTCCTTTGGGTCCCCGCCTCCACGCCCCAGGAGGAATCCTATCGTGACCTGGTCCTCCAGGTAGGGTAATCAAAGGGAGGGAGAAGTGGAGAAGCCAAGGCCAGCAGAATTAACAGACGGTCCTGGCTCATGATGGTTCGACTTACAATGATGAGAAAGTGACAGACATTCAATAGAAACCATACTTTGAATTTTGAATTTTGCTCTTTTCCCAGGCTAGCGGTATGCAGTTGATGCTCTCTTGTGATGCTGGGCCGGTACAGCCCCCACAGCTCCCAGTCACCACCGGATCCCGAGGGTCAACAACCGATACACTTACAACCATTGTGTACCCATGTGACCTTTCTGTCTTTCACTTTCAGTATAGTATTCAATAAACTACATGAGATACTCGACACTTTAGTATAAAATAGGCTTGGTGTTAGATGATTTTGCCACAGTATAAGCTTTGTGAGTGTTCTGAGCACGTTTAAGGTAGGCCAGGCTGAGCTGTGATGTTCAGTAGGTGAGGTGCATTCAATGCATTTTCGACTTGTGATATTTGTAACATATAATGGGTTTATCAGGATGTAATGCCATCAGAAGTTGAGGAAGACCTGCTCTTGCAAAAGGGCAGAGCACTGCTGAGGAAGAGCAAACGAACAGAACCAGGAGGTGACCCCCGGAGACCCGGGCCGCAGGAGAACTCTGGGGAGGGCGTGGAGGGGACGGAGCGTCCTCGTGGCAGCCGCAGCCCTGGGAGCAGCGAAATGCAGATGGGAAAGAGGATTTGAAGAAGTCTGCTATGAGTCACGAGTGGAAGCTTCCTTGGGCTCTGGTCATGAAAACCTAGTAAAGATTTCATTTGTCTTTCAATTAATTTTGTGGTTCTTACTGTTCCGGGACAGCTGTGTCTCTACATGTGACTCCCTGTGGGACAGGACCCAGGTTGGCCCGGCTTCTGTGGGTTGTAGCCTTCGATCCCCACCGTGGCGCGTGTGGCCCTCAGTTCCAGCACCTGCAGCGCTAACAGAATCTGGTCAGAGGCCTCCCTGCCCTCAGTGCCCCATCTGAAGCTGCCACAGTGCCTCCAGCTCTGTCCTCGCTCACACAATCCCAGCAGCGCCGGGTGACGTCCCGGTGACATCCTTGTAATAGGGTGTCGCAGTTATTTTTAAGATGTACTAACCGGAGAAATGTGGTAGCAATAAGAGACCATCTTACTGAAGCCTAATTATCCCCTTGCCTTTGTAAAAATGGTTATTTCTTATCCGGTATATCTTCCTAAAGTAACACCTCCCGCACATCAGTCTCTCGCTCAAAACTCTTCCCTATCTCTTCATGGTCAAAACCAAAGCAAACCAAAAATAAAACACAACTCTGGAGCTTGGCAATCCGTCTTCCACCAGAGTCCAGAGTCTGACTCTCGGTCCTCTCTGTAGCCTTGATCCTGTCCACACATCCGTGGGAATCCGGCCACTGGGTGAAAGACGGCCACGCAGCAGCCACCCCTGGTTTTCATAAATTAACATTCGATCTATTGACATAAACTCAAAACTCTCAGCCTAAGTTCCTCTTACACGTCTTATTGCTGCATTCATGAGTACAGGAATTTTAAAAACCACTTTCAAGGGGCCTTTGCGTTTGGCTCTGTTTATGAATGTAGTGAACCAAACGCCCTGAAAACCGTAATAGATTTGATACTCCTTTTAAGTTCCTCGACTAACTAGCCAGACCTCAAGTTCTTAGGAATTGTCGTTGAAATGAATTAAACTTATAAATACGTCGAATCATAAGATATCTTAAATGTCAAAACAGTTTCTAAATCAAGAAAATTTCAATTTAAAATCAGAAGCCTAAATCACTTATTCAACAGCACGCTTTCAGTCAGAATCACAAGATTAATTTACCTTTTAGACCCAATTTTTTTTAAACTTCACACAAACTTTATCCGGTGATTTCACACAACAGTACTACTATGGGTGAGCTCCTCTTAACACATCTGCCGTAACCCGAAGCCTTCCCAGGGTTCAAGGTGCTTCCCGAGTAAGGAAGCCACCTCCCCAGCAGTCTGCGGTGCCCGCCCAGCTGTCTCGAGCTGTTCGTAGCTAGAAGGCCAGGCCTGGCCACTGCCCCTCCCACCGACCTGACCCTGATGTGACAGTCACCCCATCAGTGCCCTCCTGAGGGAGCCTCAGAGCCCGCACGCCCTCGTGTCCAGACACGGTCCCCCAAGTCCTTGTTTGCTCATGGCAGTCAGGGGTCCCCAACCAGTTTGCTGTTCCACCTGACTGGATTCCATGGTCTGGTTACTGCTCTGTCCTAGTCTGTGAGCGCCACATTCCCACAGACACTCAGCGGGCAGAATTCTCTCCTGGTTTTATGTCACTCACTGGTCAAGATGCCAGATTAAAAGTCTCCAATGGGACAGATACTAAAAAATGACCTGAAACTCAGATTTAGCTGTGAGTCTGACTTTTTTTTTTTAAATTGGCACCTGAGCTAACAACTGTTGCCAATCTTCTCTTTTTTTTTCCTCCTTTTTCTCCCCAAGTCCCCCCAGTACATAGTTGTACATTTCAGTTGTGGGTCCTTCTAGTTGTGGCATGTGGGACACCGCCTCAGCATGGCCTGACGAGTGGTGCCATGTCCGTGCCCAGGATCCGAACCAGTGAAACCCTGGGCTGCGGCAGCCGAGTGCGAACTTAACCTCTCGGCCACGGGGCCGGCCCCAGAGTCTGACATTTTTATTCACTAAATCTCGCAAGGCTCCCTCCGGTCGCTCTTCACTGGTCGTGCAGAGCACGTCACTGATGGTGTATGACGAATGAGCCAGCCACAGCTGATCTCTTCACCTTTCTCCTAGTCACCTAGGGTCCAAATCTTAGGCTCTTCTCAGGGTGGTTACTGTCCCTGTCCTCATTTCTGCATGTGTTTAACATGGTTTATTTTATTTTTCTAATTCTGTATTTTAAAATTCTATATATTTTTGTTCACTCTGGTTTATAAAATAAAAGATTTCTTTGTCCCACAAACAAAAGAAGCAAACTAACCTCGCCCGAAAAACAAGGGACACGGTTCCATCATCCCCCGTCCACAGATAAGTCACCTACCACCCTCCTTGGCATCCGACCCGGCTGTGGTCAAGTCTGCGTCTGTCTACAGTGTGAAGTCCTCGAGGGCAGAGGAGCATGTACGCCCCTCGGCTCGCTCCTCTGTGAGCACCCACCTCCTCGCCCAGCGCCTGGCGCACGGGAGGGCACAACGCACATTCGCTAAAATGCCCAAAGGTGCACAACCTCAGCAAGTAGGAGGGAAGAGAAGAGCAGCCGCTTCGCAGGATCCCGAGGGAGAAGGGAGCGCTCCTCACCTGGCATGATGGTCTTCCCGCATTCCTGGCACTTGGACGAGTACTCGTGGGAGTAGCAGTCCGTGCAGAGCAGCTGGTCCTCCTTGGCAGCAAAGGGCTTGTCCACCAGTGAGCTCTTGCACCGCGAGCAGTGGAAACAGGCCTCGTGCCAGTGTCGGTCCTTGTAGGACAAGTCCTGCAGACCAGACCACACGAGACAGTCAGAGAGGGCAGGAGGGGCGGGAGGCGCTCTGCCCCACAGTGGAGGGAGGGGGCATGCTGCAAAGCACGGCGCCATCAGGGAGTGAAGGGGCCAGGCCTGTGGGCCTGCCCGCACCCCGGTCACCTAGCGCTGAGAGGAGGAAGATTAGGCTCTTCTCCTCCTGCTGCCTTCTGGAACAATGATTTAGACAGGTGGGTGTGTGCGAGAGAAAGAGGTGCTTTGAAAAACAAATGGATTCCCCTTAGATATTGCCTGCAAGAAAGAGAAACAGACAACAGGAGACTCATCAATGCTTCTCACTTGTCAACCACTGACAGAGAAGCAGACGGCCGGAGTCCCTTGGCCATGAGGAAGCTTGGCAAAGCCATCCATGACAGAGGGATGGCGGAGATCACTGGAGGGAGAGAAGCTGGGTGTAGGGAAGTTCTCAGAAGGCACCCAAGGACAGAGCCCTGGTATAACCTGGCGGAAAACAGGGCAGCAGGGACTTCTCGTGCAGGTGCCACCAGCCGAGTGTCAAAGTGGATGGCAGTGAAGGTCAGAGGGAATACCAGGCAGAGAGAGCATGAGCACGGACGACGGCGAGAGGGGTGCTTGGTGGAGCTGTGTGTGGGGTTCGAGCGACAGGCAGGGCACGAGGTGGGACAGGCCACGCCCAGGCTGGACAGGAGGGCCCTTTTAGGTCTGCATGGAGTTTAAGTTTATCCGGAAGGCAGTCGGGAGCAGCTGAACTATTTAAACAGGAGAGACTGACATGCTCAGACTGCGCATCAGGACAGGGCGAGGAAATGGGGGCGGGGGAGGAGAGGGGGGGGTGGAAGATGCGCAGATGGCCTGCAGAGCGAGGGGCGGCTGAGGCCACCGCCGCCGAGAGGCAGCAGATGGGCGAGGCAGTGAGAAGGCAGAACCCACGCTTGCTGGCAAAGAGTGAGAAAGAGAAACGAACCCACAGAGAAAACTGTGTCGCCTCGGTGCCACCCTTGATCTTGCTGAGGAATAACAAGAAAGCTTCTTCTACTTGTCTTTTCTAAATGGCGTACGGCACTTTGAAAGTGCTGATACAAAACCAAAATAACTCTTTATATCCAGCTTTATCTTAGATGGGATTATTTTACTATTGCTCTTTGCATTCCCAGCTCTCACCTGAAACCATCATCCATTTATCAGTGAGGCAGAAACAGAATTTTAGGCCACCACGCGGTTTCCTGGGAGCCTTCCAGATCTTAGGTCTGAACACCCGGCTGCTCACTCGGACGGCTGTCAGCACCATCCTTCCCAGGACATCCCTGTTACCGACGCCGAGGTCGAAGCTGGAGCCACGCCCAGCGTACCATGTGCAAACACGCATCTTGGACTTGATCAGAAAGTCCCAAACACCAACTGAACACAGCACCCACACTGGAACAAATGGTCCTCCTTCGCTGACATACCGTGTGTGTATGCATGTGTGTGTGTGTGTCTTCCCAGAACCTTGAACCAAGCTGAAGTTATTGGATTTGATGGTCTCTTTGCACATTTAGTTCAGGGAATTTTAAAAAATATCAATGTTGAATTACTTTGAAGACAGTTGGGCATCTGTGAAGGCATGTGCCTCGTGCTGCTCCATCTCACGCTGTTCCTGTTGGAAGCTTGCTTTTTAGGACATCTGGGAGGAGAATTATGGCCAATGCAAGAGAATCAGGAATGGCGGTGAGGGGAGGGTAGGATTTCCTCCATGCAGGACTGACGCAGCTCATTTCTGTATGGCTGACTCCTCCCCGAGCCCCAGCCGGGCATGGCCTCCCCGAGGCCAGAGCGGCAGCTCACTGACACACCGTCCCCTCCTTCCTCCGTGACGCCAAACTGAGGAGCGTGCACTGGGGGCAGAGGACTATCCTGTCTCTTGCATTTTTAGCCTCAAGTATTTTCAGAAATTTTAGGGAAAAAATCATCTGTGCTTTACTGGTTATTTTGACAAATGCTCTAGAAGTACAAACTGCTCTAATTTGTGTTAATGACCATCCTCATATGCAAACTCATTATAGACTGCCAAGCCCGTATTCTCCAGATATCCCTTCTTCAAAAAGAAGTCATTATTTTTCTCCTTCTGGGATACTAGTGATGATAAATATTACCATGTTATGAGTTCAAGGCATTGCGCAGCCCTGCAAGGTAAATATTATTACTGAAGCTCAGAGAAGTTCAGTAACTTGCCCACGGTCACACAGGCAAGCTGGCACGTAGCTGAGTCAGGGTTCAAGCTCATGTCCTTCTAAGTCTGCTTCCACTGAACCACACCAGGTAAAATCCTGTTAGAGTCTGTGTTACTCTTGGCTTTCAAAAACCATACCCTTGATGAGATCTGTGTACATCCACTGAAAAACATTCAGAAATGATACCATATTTTGTACTCAAATAAATGCAATTCAGCACTGCCTTTGTCTAGATTGAATACAGTCAAACAGACCATTTAAAGCCCTGCCCAATAAGAACAGTAATTAGCCTCATTTAAGAAGAGGTGGAGTTTTTGATCATGCTATCACTGTTTTAACACCTATTGGGGAATAAATGCATTTAAAAAAATTTTGTATGGAAAAAAATATGGCAGTCCTCAAAAAATTAAAAATAGGATTACCATATGATGCAGAAATTCCACTTTTGGGTATATGCCAAAAAGATTTGAAAGCAGGAACTCAAACAGATATTTGTACATCCATGTTCACAGCAGCACTATTCACAGTAGCCAAGAGGTGGAAGCAACCCAAGTGCCCTTCAACAGATTAATGGACAATCAAAATGTGGTCTATTGGGGCCAGCCTGGCAGCACAGCGGTTAAGTGTGCACGTTCTGCTTTGGCAGCCTGGGGTTCGCTGGTTTGGATTCCGGGTGCAGACACGGTATCACTTGGCAAGCTGTGTATGGCAGGCGTCCCACATATAAAGTGGAGAAAGATGGGCACCAATGTTAGCTCAGGGCCAGTCTTCCTCAGCAAAAAGAGGAGGATTGGCAGCAGGTGTTAGCTCAGGGCTAATCTTCCTCAAAAAAGAAAAAAATGTGGTCTAACCATATAATGGAATATTATTCAGCCTCAAAAAAGGAAGGAAATTCTGACAAAGGCTACAACATGGAAGAAGCTTAAGGACATTACTCTAAGTGAAATAAGTCAGTCACAAAAAGACAAATAGTGTATGATTCCACTTACATGAGGCCCTAGAGTAATGGAATCCAGAGACAGAAGGTAGAATGATGGGTGCCAGGGGCTGGGGGACGAGGGGGGGCTTATTTTAAGGGGTACAGAATTTTAGTTTGGGAAGATGAAAGAGTTCTGGAGATTGGTTGCACAACAATGCAAACGTCCTTAGCACTATGGTTAAGACAGTACGTTTTATGTTATGTGTATTTAACCCCAATTTAAAAATTTAGAAAGCAAGTCTTGATGACTACGTAAAAGATGAAAACACCTGCCCAGAAGGCGGCTGGGTTCCCTCTGTACTGACCAGTCACGTCATCGTGGACTGCTGCTGTGGGAGAGCCACGAAGTGTCCTGGGCGGTCTGAGTCAGCGCCGGGCTGAGACGGGGTCCCCGCCCAAGGGGCAGGGCCCAGGGGAGAGGGAGAGATGCCGACCTGCCTCGAGGAGACGGGCCAGGTGCCCGCTGGCCACGCTGCCCAGAGTCAGCATCCCACAGACAGGGGCTACAGGCTGTCAGTGAAAAGAGCAGGACGGGAAGTACAAGTTCAAGGTCTTTTGCCTTTGAGGGTGACCTGCAAAAACCTGCGGGAGACCCCCTTGGAGGACATCGTGAGAGGGAAACCTCTGGGCGGCGCCTCGGCCTCCACCCCTGGGTGAGCCCCAGCACGAAGACAGGACAGCAGAGCGGTTACTGTGACCGGACAGCCATGCAGAAGCTCATTTTAAAATGTTCACGTGGGCTGGCCCCATGGCCGAGCGGTTGAGTTCGCGCGCTCCGCTGCAGGCGGCCCAGTGTTTCGTTGGTTCGAATCCTGGGCGTGGACATGGCACTGCTCATCAAACCACGCTGAGGCAGCGTCCCACATGCCACAACTAGAAGGACCCACAACGAAGAATATACAAGTATGTACCGGGGGGCTTTGGGGAGCAAAAGGAAAAAATAAAAATCTTTGGGAAAAAAATAAATAAAAATAAAACGTTCACGTGGATCAAAAGCACCACAGAAATCCACTTTTCCTACAGCTAACGTTTTTGACAGGAAAACAATGGCTACAGTTTAAGGCTGATTTGTTGACAGACATTTGACACTACAGAGTGCCCCTTTAAATCTGGGTGCTATCGACATGTCCTTACGAGACCCAAGCACCAAAGCAAGACATCTAGACCTCCCAAAGGCCAGCTCCTCACGCCCACCCTTGCCACGCTGCCCTCCTGCGGTCACTCCCGGTCCCCCGCTATCCTGTCTCCCAGGAAGCTGCTGCCTTCCTCGGAGTGACCTGAGCTACGGCACCACACGGAGCGGGTGCAGCCGTTTCACCGGGGCTTCGACCCGAAAAGTCGCCCGCCCCCTCAGGCTGGGGTGGAGCAGATGGCTGCACATGCTGCTCATCCCACCTCCAGCCAGGAGAGCTGGCTTGAGGTCCCTTCCACGTGACACCCAGGATTGAGTCATCTCGGCATTCCCTCCCTAGGCTGTCGTCACTCACCTGCACAATTCCCCTCGCTCAGTCTACCTCTCTCTTGCATGTGCATGCACACACACATATTTCAGCATGAACATGCAACAGTTCCTGAATTGTTTATTCAACAATGTTTGATAATTCTCAAACCTTCTGACAAAATATTGTCCCTAAAGATAAATATCAGCCTATCATCACGCTCTTAAATTTCATGGTGTGCAATAAATAAAAATAGTCTTCAAACAAGCTAGCGTCACCGTGGGGGTGGGTCCTCAGTGGGACTATAATTGGCCCAGAGCCGTTCTTGCCGCAGACAGCAGTGACCTGCCCGGGCTGACGACA